AATGGGACATAGATCTATGTCACTTAAGTGGAACCAACATCACATTTTTATAACTTATTTTTCCTTTTAGCTGTGGCCAGAGGCACTTTGCTCTCAGTATTTAGGTATCTAGCTATTGCTTTGTTTTATTGGAAAATTGTTAGGTATGATGCCCACTGGGACCTTTTGACTCCAGTAAAACATTGCAAGGTATAAACTTTCCCAAACTTTACTCTGTGCTCCAGACCCTTGGGGACCCTGCTGAACTGCAGATATGAGTGAGGGGACACGGAGAGGGGCCCACGATTCTGCTTGCTAATGAGGTCCTGATGTTGCTGGTTCATAGACCACTCCTGGAGTAGTGATATTTCATAAGGGTCTGTTGAAGGAGCTATTCCAGCATCCTTAGAAAATTTCATTGATTCATCCAGGATAGCAAATTGTAATAGTGATTAAAATGATGTCCTCCATTTGGTTTGGCAGTGAGCAGGATGAACTCAATGGACAGTCATGGAGGCTTTAGCAGAGGAAGGCAGGTGGGGACCAGGTGGATCCAGACACATGCTCTACAGCATGGGGTTAGCCGAGGCGCCTCTTTGACTCTGCTGTATCCCATTTAGCTTACAGGCCTGAAATAAAGACTCCTCTCAGGTGAACTCATCCCTCTGTCATTGGAATTCAATCCTACATACAGAAAAAAATCTCTTCGTGAGCTGGCAAATGTGTGTGGAGACAGAGTAGAGGTTAGGAGTAACAAGGGTTTCTTTCTAGGGAAGCCTTGAAACAAAAATTAATAGAAAAATAACTCACTTTTCACCACAAGGAAGGAATTTGGACTGTTGTGGGTAGCTTCCGATCAGATAGTGCAAATTCCAGGAGCACCAAAGGTCAGGTATTTCTAATGTGTGAGCACACTGATTGAGGGAACGTCATCCCGTCCGTGTCATCACAAAGAAATATCATCAGCTCATCAGAGCACGAGATGATAATGCTCTTGTTTCGAAGCTTGCAATTCTCTGTCCCACTCATTCAGGAAGAACATCTCAGCCAGAATGCTCAGTCACACAGCAGTGGGAGTTAGCGACTCCTGCTCCTAATTCAGAAGCAGTCATCTCCTAGGCAAAGCGTGCTTCAGGGACAAACCGTAAATAAATATCGGAAGTGTTCCCCACAGTTCCTTCCAGTGCTGTTTTGTCGAGATTCATGAGGCAGGGTGAACTGGCACTCTCTCCACAGCACTTAGAAGGCCCCAAAACGGCAGATGAGGTCTGCTGTGTCTAGGTCCAGGAACACGATGCATACGCACCTATCTCTCCAAGTTAGGAAGAGTAGAGGGGGGCAGAGGCAGGAGGATCTCTGTGAGTTTGAGGCCAGCCTGGTTTACAGAGCGAGTTCCAGGACCACAAAGCTCCCGTTGTTTCCTTAGGCCATTAATCAGGACCTACTTCTTGTCTTGGGGCTGAAAGCACAGAGCCCCACATACTTTCCTGCCAGAAGAAACCAAGAATATGGTTTAGGCACAAAAACATGATAGCCATGGTCATTAAGAGTCACCCTTACAGTTCTTTGCATCTCCAGAGTTCTACGGTTAATTGACTACACCTGTAGAGGCTCCTGAGCGCTTCCCGAAGCCATGCTGTCACCCTCCCTCATCCCGTGGGAGACCCCATTCTGACAGGAAAGCAGAGATTCAGTGCTCTCAGCGAATTGGTGACTGAGAAAGAAATAAACCCTTCCTGTTGTCAGACTCCGGGATCAGGCTCCTCTGAGGAGGGGGCAGCCTGTCCAGCATAGGCTGCTGTTCGAAAGTTGGAAACGCGGCTGATTCAAAGCAAGGACTGCCCACTAGAAAAGACACATGTTTGTGCTTCCTGTCACAAGGGTCCTTTGAAATATTTTCAAAGGCCACAGAATCTGCCAAATAAAATTGAAGGCAAAGACTTGTCTGAGGAACATGTGAGGGGCTGGAGAGACGGCTTGGCGGGTGACCGCATGGGCAGCTCTTGCAGAGGACCCAGTTTCAGTTCTCAGCACCAGTATCAGTCTCTGGGTCTTTCATTTTCATGCAACACAAGATACACACCGTCAGAGCTCCAGAGTAAACTGGAAATACCCGTGCCTCTGGAAGATGGTACTCAGGGCATGAGCCTTGCAAATGGTGTGTATCACCACTGCTTGATCTCTGTAGCTTGAGGCTGACTTTGCTTTCTGAATCCTTAGGCAAGCTTTAATAAATCATAAATAAGATATCACTACACTGTGGCCTTAATATAGTCAAGTTCTTCTCCCTGTGGAAGTCAGTCTGCTCTGGACTGTTGATGTCTTCCCATAACTTCTGAAAGCAGTCCCTCAGGTCAAAGCAAGCATGCCCACAGCACCTGAAGATGCTCTCTAGAAACCAGGGTATCAGTTTATCCCTGGTCCCCAGTTTCTCTTTGCTGTGACACTGGCATCCGACCATGATGCCATTGGAGTGGCCGTGGAAGGATGAAACCCATGCTATGTGTGCATAACTGCAGTTGTGGGATGAAGTCCTGGATTCCGTATGTTCATGACGGATCTCAGAGCGCATGTGGTGCCCACATCGGGTAATTTCCCACTTGATGGGCTGGATAGACCGGGATATATTGGAAGAAGCCGCGCGCTGCTTCTCCAGCCCCATGGCAAGGATGCTCCTTTTCATCTGTCATTCATTCTTTCTGGTGGAAATGTTTTTTCGTGTTCATCTTGCCTCACCTGTCTTTCTGTGCTCAGTGTCTGCAGCAGTCCTCAACTTTGCTGTCGCACCGTATGTAACACTGTACAATGAGCATTGCTTAGATTTCAGTAAAAGGAATCACTAGAAAATAGACTTTAAGATGGTAGAGTATACCCGGGAATGGTGGTACACGCCTTTAATCCTAGCACCCACGAGGTGGAGGCAGGTGGATCTCTGTGAGTTCAAGGACAGCCTGATCTTCCTAGCAAGTTCCAGGCTAGCCAGAGTCACACAGTGACACTCTATCTCATAAGAAGGCAAAAAAAAGGGGGGCAGGGGAGGATATACTTTCAAAATTTGTCCATTGCCAGAAGTGTGAGGAGGAATTGCTATCTGATTTCCAAGTGTAGCCCATGTGCCTGGCCTGAGTCTCTGTAGGAGCCACTTCTGTACCGTGGAATGTGACTCATTAGGTCTGGTTACACATACTGTGGTAGGAACAACAACTAAGTGGTGATTGTTGCTCCTGCACTACCTCATTGTCAGGCCCATCTCTCCCCCTCAACTTTATGACTGACTGAAGAAGGGCAGTGACAGTTCTCATGTGGGCAAAGGAAGTTGAAAAACATTTTTTGTTTTCAGCAAGTTTGGATGTAGCCCGATTGCTTTGCGGTTGATCTTGGTAGCAAGGACATGATGCAGGGATGAGTCTGGAAAATGCCTAGTCTTCTAGTTGTGTTCTAACCCGTTTATTTTTGATCCTACATGGCATCCTACTTTTCCAATATCTGAAATCTGCTTTGTTGAATTTCTGTCATGTTCTTGGATCTTCCTAGGGGCTTTGTGTGTTTGGTGGTGCCCTGTGTGTGAGGGGTGTTAGTGGTGCCCCACATGTGGGGAGTGTTTGGTGTAGGGGCTGAAATAGTAGCGGGAAGGATGACTTGCTCCCTTGGAGCTGTGAAACTTTCCCCCAGGAGACAAAACCATCGCCGTGGAGGACAGCATTTAGTGTGGGGTGTCTTACAAATGACATCAGGAGCTCTGGGGCTCCTCACTGCTTAATTCACCAAATGATCCCCGGACTTCCTGCAGGGCAGCCCACAAGTCAGCCCCTTTACATGCTGTTGCAATTCTAAGGACAGATATTTTGATAGTATATTTCAAAAATGATTTTGGCAGTGGTAAACACCATCAACATGTAACTGAAATTTTCTTGAGTGATCCATTTTGTATAAATAACACAGTATGGTCACGGGTGGCTGCAGGTTGTATAGTGTGCATTTTGGGGTGATGCTGTTCACATAGACTCAGTGACAGGTGGATAGCAAGTGAGGACTGCCCGGTCATAGGCAATCTCCTTGAATTGCAGCACATGGCCGTCCATGTCACTGTTCCTCTGGAAAAGCAGAGATCCTTTTATGAAGCATGTTGCAATTCTAATTTGACCACAGGGCTGTTTTCACTTGTTTATTTGTTTAGGGTAACCTTAGTTATTATTCGCCGGGAATTCAAGAGCTGAAAACTGTCTCAGTGCTGTTTTTCTGCTAGGGGCTCAGAAGTGAAATGAAAACTGAATTCACTTTATAGCCAGAAGTTTTGCTGTTGAGGGGGGAAAGACTAAAAGTGTCAGGAGGTAATGAATTTCGCATTCACTTAAGGGTTAGGATGGAGTGTATTTCCAAGCTCATTTCCTACAGATCCAGGTAGTTGTACTCACAGATAATCTGATCAAGTTGGTGATTTTACAGCAGTGTAAATGAGGAATTTATTATACGTTTGTATTTATCTCTGGTAGAAAATTTATTTATGACCTCATTCTCGTCAATGACTTTAGTAGGGAAAAATGTATTTTATGTCTCTGTGTTGTTAGGACAAAGAAACTCTAGGGTAGAAAAACAAAAGTGCTTGCACGAGGCTCATAGCATGGACCTGGGTGTAAGTGGTTATGGGATACATAACCTGACGGTAAAACCCTCAAATATCAGAGAATAATAAAAGTGCTTTGAAAATTACCATCTTTGAAATAAAACCATGGGAACTATGGTTAACATAGCCAACTGTATAATGGAAACAGTACAGGATAAATGGCCAAAATGAACTAATTTTGTCCAAGCTGATTTTTTTGGTATGGAATTGGAGGAAGGAGGGGAGAGCTTTATCTGCAGGGAGGTTAGAACCTCACCCTTATGGACTTGTCCTTCGAGACAATCTATCTGGCTATAAAAATTTCAGGGTATATGTAACATATATTAGTTGGTAGAGCTAAGCGGTTTTCAACTCTAAAATGTGTACTTACAACCCTTTCATGTGTTTTGCTTTCCAGACCCAAACCCAAATTATCCTGAAGACCTCTATGAAGGTAGCTATCATGTTTCTTCACTCTGTGTTTTTTTTTTCAGAATGTTTGTGTATAATGTAATAAATCAGCTAGAAGAAGACCTGTAAGCTGAGTTAAATACACATTTTTAAGTGCTATGTGGGCCAAAATAACATCTCAAGTATCACCCAGTATTGATGGCTCTTTTCCCTTGATATTTACAGTGCCTGTAAATAGCACTCTCTCTCTCAGGCTCTCTTCTTGGAAGTAGTAAATCCATTCTGCTCTTACAGACATCTTGTTTCCGTAATTGGGAACTAATTACCTGTTTAAAAGCCATGACAACCAAAGAAAGGGAGGTGGATCACCTTCAGGCCATGACAGGAAACACATATGAAATTGTTCCTTGTGTAGTGCAGAGGCCGCTCATGGACAGAGCTTCAGAGGGCTGGCCCGGAGCAGCTCGGCCAGCCACTGAGGGTGTCATGAAGACTCACGGTTCCTACTGCACATGCTACCATCCACTCATCAGCTTTGCTGGGGACTGGTTCCCTCTGTGGTGTGAGCTCACACTGAGGATGGACTGACCCAGTCATGGTCCATCTAACCTTTCTTGCTGAGAAGCAGGGTTACATAGTAATGACTTACTGACCCCATCCCTGGAACACAGGCCAATTTCCCTGGGGGTGGAGGGGCCTAAAACCTAAAATAAGTGAAGTCCTTTTAGGAACATGGAAGAGGAGGGACCCCAAAGCCACATTAGTGATGCTGTGGTGCTCATCTTTACTCTGCTTGTTGACTAAATGCCAAGGATGCATTGATGGGCACAAAAACTCTTTAGTGCAGACCTCCAAACTACCACTGTGATCACGAAGCCACAGAATCTAGGAAAGTGACAGGCTTCGTTTCAAGCTTGGGACTAAAACTGAAAATGATTAAAATTAGATTAGTTAGAATGTTATATTTTCACAAGTTATTTGTTCTTTAATTTCCCACCCACATGCACATGTTATGTGGCATTCCTGTTTGCTTGGGTCTGTAGCATGCCCTTCCCCAACCATGATCATCTCTGGTGTGCACTGTTCAAGGAGCATCTCCCTTGGATAAGCTATAGGCTACCCTGTGCTGCCTACATGTGTATTTAACTCCAGCTAATTTTAACTGGGAATTTCTCTGTGTCTGCATGCTAATCTATATTGCATCTGAGTTGTGGCTTGGCTGACTTTTGTGCAGGTGATTTGAATATGTATTTTTATTCGACCTGCTGGGACTTTAACATGGCTCAGATTATCCCATGCAGCATGAAGTTTGAATGGTGATTTTTACATTTTAAAATCATGTTTTGAGTTTCTTCTCAGTAACTTCAAAACATTAAAAATGTCATCTTTCCAGTGACCTCAGCCCCCACTTTGAGCCTTTTGGCTAAGATGTCATGGTTTTAAACTAGAGACATTTAAAATGGTCTAAAGTTTGCCTGGCTACTTGGCTATACTACAAAGAAAAATTAGTAAATAAATGATGTCTGCTTATGTTTGAAATCAGTGAGTTTTAAGATATTCCAAATAAACATTGTTAAAATTTGGGTTTTGGCATTAAGAACACAACAACAAACAAAGAAAATAAGTGCTTTTTTCCTGTTATTTTTTTCACTTGCATTCAAAGGAACATGCTGTTAATAAAAATGTAATTTGAATTGTTTGCCCTAAAGCCAGCATAATGATCCTACCAAGGGGAGTGTGGCTGGGGCTCAGTTAATGAAGTGGCTTTTGCCCAATAAAAAGGAGGGGCACTCTTCTAGTTAGATCTGCAACGCAGACACTTCCAGGCAACATTGTCTGCAGTCAGTTTGCTGGCAATTTTCTGTGATCAGTAATATGAAGAATAAATCAGTCACCTTATCCATGCAAACTAACACTGGCCTAGAACATGCCAACTGACTTTGAGATTTATGGCATCGAAGACATATCTGTACAACTAGTTACTATGCTGGCCTATTCAATGGAATATTGGTGTGTCTGAGCTTTTCTGAAAATTCCACAGTGACGCTCACACCAGGCTGCATCGTAAGGCCTTGTCCTACTTTCTAATGGGATGCTCCTGCCCAAATACCAGTGATTTCTTGTGATCTGGGTCACCATGTGGCTCCAACTCCCTAAGCCTCACCATTCCACTCTCAGGCTGACATTTCTCAGTGTTAGAACTGGAGGCCAGATCTGTCCTCCAAAGAGTTCATGTGAAAAATACCCATGGTCCCCATTCTTGGTTGTTTTAAAGATGGCATCAATAAGGAGATGCTTCCTTCAGAGCAAGGGAGAAATCTTTTTTTTTTTAAGGTTTATTTACTTATTATGTACACAGTGTTCTGCCTGCATGCATGTCTGCAGGCCAGAAGAGGACACCAGTTCTCATTATAGATGGTCGTGAGCCACCATGTGGTTGCTGGGAATTGAACTCAGGACCTCTGGAAGAGTCCTAAGTGCTCTTAACCTCTGAGCCGTCTCTCCAGCCCCGCAAAGGAGAAATCTTAAAGCAGGTCTAGGAGGACCAGCAGATCCTTGATGGAGAGGTGGAAACTGGATGCTATGTGGTTTTGTGCAGTTCCATCCTTGGCGGGCATTGGGCTGGGCAGCCAGGAACAATCCTGCACAGCCAGGCTGTCCCGACAGTGATTAGGACTCTCTGGATCTGTCTTGCCTTGTTTGGGGTCTCGCTGTGGCCCTGTGTATGTCAGAAACCTATCGATGATTTCATATTCCTCCTCTTTCTCTTGTCTCCAATTGAAGACTGGACCGCAGCAACTGACATCGGTGATACGACGAACAAAAGCAATGAAATCCCCTCCACGGATGTTGCTGACCAGAGCAGTCGGGAGCATCTCTCGGTGAGTGGGGTAGACAGGTGCCTCCTGGGCTGGCTCTGACAATTCTGGATGCTCTATGCTGGAGAAATTGTTCTTGCTTCCGTAGGACATGGCTGTTGTTCAGATGTGAGCAGGCCATCAAAGATTGTAGGGTCTACTAGAAAGATCCAGAGACAGTGACAAAGAGACCGTGCAGCCTTTGACACGTGCTTTGCTGGTAGTCTGCCACATGTTTAATTTTTCTGATATTTTACATATTTTTATTTTATGTGTTTGGGTGCTTTGTCTGAGTGTGTAGCTGTGTGCTGTGTGTGCAGTGCTAGAGGAGGCCAAAAGAGGGTGTCAGATCCTCTGGTCCCCTGGAAATGGAGTTAGAGAAGGTTGTTAGTGGCCATCTGGGTGCTGGGAATGGAACTCGTCTTCCTCCTCCAGCCTCAGAGCCATATTTTTATTTTTTTTTTCATTTTTATTTCTGTGTCTGTGTGAATATATACCTGCAAAGCCAGGAGACAACGAGGCCAGAAGAGACCGTTCGATTCCCTGGTGCTAGGTCATCTGACGTGGGTGCTGGGAACCGAAGGTGTCAGGTCTTCTGGAACAGCACCTAGTGTTCTCAACTGTGGAGCCATCTCTCAGCCCCGTTGTTCACCATGTTTAATAGTCATTACTGTTTTAAATGTCTGTCCTTTACAACCCTTCCACTGGGAAATTACTTGCAGCAAATCACAGCCCTCCTCTGCAGGGGCCATACTTTCACATCTATCTCCTGCATTTTTAAAAAATAAAAATTAGAGTGTTTGCCAAATACAGAAATCCAGCTTTCTCTGGAGAAGGTTATAGGAAGGAAAACTCAGGCCCGTCTTTTAGACAGGGACCCTGGGGGTGGAGTGGTATCTGACACGGCCTGTGCAGGTGGTCAGCTTCTGAGTAAAGCGATGAGTGCGGGGCATTGGGGGTGCGAGCAAGAGCTTGCAGACTGGGAAACGTGAGGCAGTCTCCTCCTTCACTGGAAGGCTCAGGCTGGTGACGAAGGACGTGAAGTAGTCCCAGGTGATAGCCTTACTGTAGAGTAAATTGCCATCAAAGGGTTCCATGGTGGGACCAGTTGGGAAACATGTTGACTTTTCCTCACACACAGCATGTCCTGTGAGCTCTGATTCCTTCAGTGACCGAATCCACCATCTCCCCTTCTGCTGCCACAGCTGCAGGCAGACCCAGGTTCTGCACAACAGGACCTGGTTGTAAGCTCCTGGCCAACTGCAATTTTCCCCTTTATAGTTTGCAGGTATTATCAGGCCCTACATTTTTAACCAGGTTTGGGAAAGTATCCAAAGAGGAATAGTGCTTTGTGACATGAAAGTTCTATGAAATTCAAATTTTCAGTTAATTTTTTATTTATAGTATGTGGATGAGTCAATCAGACTAGGTGGCTAGCAGCCATTATAATTGCAATGTCCTCATGATGGCTTCAGCATTCCTGTTAGCCTCATGCCCCATAACTCTTCTGATATAACAGTCCTGCTTGTAACCAGAAACTATTTATACATCAAATGTCTAAACCATCCATAACTGAAATTTTTAAAAATTCCATAAAATGGCCTTTTTTTTCCTGAGACAGGGTTTCTCAGCATAGCCTTGGCTGTCCTGGCACTCTATCTGTAGCTTTTAACATTGACTATGCTCCCCACTCTTGCCTCTCTGTGTTACAGTTTTGTCATGTGTCAATCACACACAGCAGTTAGCATAACTCACTCTGCTTTGGTGTCTTAGGTACACTAATAAGTTTTTCAGATGATGAACTAGGAAATCATTTGTCAGAGAACAAAAACTGCAACCATTTAGCAGGGTGGGTAATTAGCAAGCCCTGCAGCTGATTTACTCTGGTGTCATTCTTGTTGTGCCAGGGTAATGCATTTGGTTACCTGTGGTCACCTAAGTGTGTGTGTGTGTGTGTGTGTGTGTGTGTGTGTGTGTGTGTGTGTGTGTGGTGTGCATCTGTTTGATGAGTGTGTATATGTTTGGGTGTGCCTCCGTGTGCATGTGTAGGTCACAGGACCACTTTCCACTGTGGTTCCAGGGCTCAGGTTTGCAGGAGGCAAGTGTTTTCACCCCCTGAGTCATCTTGCCCACCCAGTAGCTACTTTTTCTCACTGAAAAGGACATGTTCTAAGACCTCCAGCTGATGCTTGAAATTTCAGGTAGTTTTGAAGCTTGGCTGTGGTTTTTCCTATACAAATCCACAATAAAGTTTGATTTACAAATCAGGCTTGGCAAGAGATTAAAACACCAATAAAAATTTAACAATTGCAACAGCGTAGTATCAGTCTTTTTTTCTTGAAGTCACTATTAGATAAAACAAGAACAACGTCAATGTTAGCTCTGCGATGCCATGCCAGTGTTTCTTATGATAAGTGAGATTGCTGGTGATTAACCAACATGGCGGTAGTCCATATGGTGTGGGTATTTGGGGTAAGTTTGAAGGAGGTGGATTTGGTTAGAACAAGGTTGTCCACCACTAGCCATGAGGGAAGTGATGTCACTGGGTGTACATGCAGGCTGGTGAGGCTAAGTCTATACCCAGGGTTTTGCTGAAGTTGTATCTGGAAGTGCCGAAGAGCACTAAAGCAGCAGAAGGGCTGGTTATCAGACTCTTGCATGGCTTGGCTGTTGCCGGTACCCTGTGGGTGCTTTGTGACTGACTTAGTGCTGTTCTTATCTGACTCCCGACAGTGGAACTGCAGAGTGATTCCCCTTGAATCTTCATTTTCCTGTCTTCATTGTGAACCAGGCACTCTGTTGTGAATAAATTACATTTTTTAAATACCTGGACAGACTGCTTTAATTCCAAGCTGTGTGACCTTGGGATTTTTATTTGCATTTTTATGAGTTTTAATTTTGATAGTCTCATCATCTGAGCCACCGCCATCTTAATTATTATGTTATTTACTGGTTAGTTCACTGTCTGCATAAACTCACTGAGGATTCTACAATCCACAGAACAGAGAACTATTAAACATGAAGACTGTGAGAAGCAGAGGGGAACACCTGAATTTCATACCCAGGGAGAAGTCATTTCTAAAATAGTCTGCAGTATCAGCACACGCTGTACTGCAGTAACAGACACGCCCGCATCTTAGTGGCTAACACCACAACGGTTTCTCTCGTCCTGCATTACCTGTGCTACTGGGAGTCTCTTCCCTTCATCCAGACTGTAGGAGCTGGCTGACACACAGCTGCCCCTCTGACAGTTAATTTTCATTATAATAGGGAGAAAGCTCCAGAGGCTGGTAGAACAGGGCTTCTCAGCCTTGACACTGTTGGCTTTGGGGAGGAGTAACTCTAGGGATTCTTTCCTGGCCAAGGGAGATGGTGAGCAGACTCCTGGCATTTACCCACTAGGTGCTTCTAGGACCACCCCAAGTCCCACCGACAAAACCTAGATTTGCCAAGAGTCTTTGAGTGACAGCACCATTGTTTGTTGATAATCAGGGCCTTTGACTAACATCTCAGATTGGCAAGGACATTCTTCACCCTTGTAAACACCAGTCTCAGCGAGTGTGAGAATGCAGCTAACCACAAGCAGGGAGTGCATTTTCCAGAGACAGGAGCCAAGGTCAATCAGGTAAGGAGTGAGTATAAAGGACTACCTTAGAGGGAAAAATAATACTGATTTAAGGTTCATCCCACAGAGTGAATAACACGCAGAATTTAAGTTTCTTAGTGACTAGTAAGCACTGTCAAAATGCAGCATCAGCTTTTATGAATAAGGCTTTATTAGAACATGGCCTTGTAAATATGTTTTCACGTCTTCTATGGCTGCTTTCAACACTGCAGAGCTGAGTTCTTGCTACAGAGGCCATGAGCCTGGCAGAGTCTAAGTATATTCCACCTGACAGAGTGTAACAGAAGTTTGCCAATCCCCTGAACCTTGGTGTGCTGCTTAATTTTTGTCACCTGACACAAACTAGACTCACCTGGAAAGACAGAACCTCAGTTGAAGGATTGCCTCCATCTGATTGGCGCAAGGGGCATGTCTGTGGGGCATTTTCTTGATTGATTATTGATATGGATTAATTGTGGGTGGAGCCACCTTGGTGGGTGGTTCTGGGATGTGTAGGAAAGCAAAATGAACAAGCCACAGGGAGCAGGGCAGTAAGCAGCTTTCCTCCACATGGTTCCTGCCTCAGGCTCTGCCTCCAGGTTTCTGCCTCAAGCTCCTACCCTGGCTTCCCTTAAATCGTAACATGAAATAAATCCTTTCTTCCTGGGTTGCTTTTACTCGTGGTGTTTATTACAGTGACAGAAAGAAAACTAGGATTCTTCATCTTTGTTTCTACAATGTCACTATGTCCTACTTGAAGGACATAGCAAGAGGATCCTGTGTGTACCCAGAGGAACAGTGGTGGCAGTCAATACTAAGTTTTCATTGTCACCTCTGTCTTGGGGTTGTGACAGAATTCACACAGCTACTCTTCGTACTTGCATAACTCACAACTTATGATTCCATTTTTAAAAATGTAAAAACCCTTTTCTGACCTATATCATCCACACAGAAAAGTGTACAGATCAGTGATGTCTATCTCCAGTCCTGTTCAGGGCTGTGACACACTGTAAAACCTTGCCCTGCTTCCAGCATGCCTGGCTCCTACAAGCCGTGGCAATAATTTAAAAAGGGTGTTCACCATGAAAAACTTTTAAGCATGTACAAAAGTAATGAGAATAGTGAAATCAGCCCCACGGTATCTTTCACTAGTGTAGAAATAAATATTAACCCATCCTTCACCCCCCTCTCCTGCCTTTGCTCCTGTGCCTCTAGATGGATGGAAGGATGGATGATGATGGATGGAGGGATGGATGATGGAGGGATGGATGACAGATGATGGATGATGGAGGGATGGATGATGGATGGAGGGATGATGTAGCCACAGACATGATCATTTATGTGGTATCACTTAGAGGTCCATTTATAAGTTTAGAGTAGGCATTATGATAGCAAGTGTTCAGGAAATGCTAACTGCAATGGTCATTACTATCACCCAAGTGCAGGGAATGGTTTTGCAAGGTTGTCACAACCTTGTTTTTTCTCCAGGTCTATGCCGTGGTGGTGATTGCCTCTGTGGTGGGATTCTGTCTGCTGGTGATGCTGCTTCTGCTCAAGTTGGCAAGGCATTCCAAGTTTGGCATGAAAGGTAAGCAGAGCCATGCTTGTTTTGCTTCTTAAGTGGACTCATTTTTGGCTCATGACTAATGCTAATTACCACTAAAGGAGGAAGTGGCTGGGTTTATGATGACTGAATTTCAAGTCGGAAAAATAGCAACAAGGGTATAATACTACAAATCAAGATGGAACAAACTCATGATTACTCAACACTGACCACTTTTCTGAGAGCACACTTGTCCTAGGAAGCATGGACTGGTTTCCCGAGTGTGGACTAGCTCAGCAGTACAGGCATGGGACAGTGTTTGTGTGTTCCTGTTGTGGTCAGGTGAAGTCAGGGGCTGGGAGATGCTACCTACAGTCACGGGCACGTTTCCTTTCCCTTGTATACTGAGATGCCAAGTCTTCTGTCACTCACTTTCTTTTGCTATTGCTTCTCTGTATTTTCATTTTTGGAAAATTAACACCATCAGAAGCAAAATAAGAAAAGCCACCATGGTACAGTGAGCTTGTGCATGGATGCTTTTTATTTATGTGGGGGAAATTCCCATGGCTGAGAACCAGCAATTGTGTTGCCATGGATAATTGAAACTTTAGGCTAATGAATTGTGTCGAGGGGTGAGCAGGAGAAGACATTTGAATGAGTGCTTTCATATGAAAGTGGAGAGTTCCTGTGACTTTGAAGTATTTGCTGTGATGTTTGAGCCTCTGACCTGGCTGCTATGAGACTGTTGTACTTTGTGTGGTCTCTGACAGTTGGGAACTCTGGGTGCCTAGGAAAGAAAGCAGTAAAGAAAGAGCCCTTGGGGGTCCAGACCAGGCTGGTGAAACCCACAGAAACAACTGACCTGAACAACGGGGAGCTCTTGGTCCCCAGAATGATATCTGGGAAACCAGCATGGGACTGATCCAGACCCCAAGAATGTGGGTTTCAGTGAGGAGACCTTGGAAATCTATGGGACCTGCTGTAGTAGTTCAGTACTTATCCTTAGCATAGGTGTGGACTTTGGGAACTCATTCCACATAGAGGAATACTCCCTGAGCCAAGACACATGGGGGTGGGCCTAGGCCCTATCCCAAAGGATACAATAAACTCTAATGAAACCCTATGGAAGGCCTCACCCTCCCTGGGGAGCAGAAAGGATATGTGATAAGTAGGGTATTAGTTGGGGGGGGGTGGTAAGGGAGGATGGGAGGGAGAAGGAACTGGGATTGTCATGTAAAACAATCTTGTTTCTAATTCAAATAAAAAATATAAAAAGTTCATAAAAATAAATAAACATTTATTTTTAATAAGAAAAAGAAAGAGCCCTTGGTGGAGGATGGGACTGTGGGTGCCTTTACCTGTATGGTCAGTGGGAATGACTCTGACCCTGCTCATCGCTTGGAAAGGGATATTGAAGCAGCAGTATCTTGGCCAGCCTACATGGGCCTAGGAAGGGAATGTTCCTTTCTGCTCTTTCTTCCCCTCCTTCTTTTGGTGACCAAGATGGAGACTCTCAGTTGTCATCTATTCAGACATAAAATAAAAATGCAATAAAACCCTTCCAACCTTACAGTGGCCATCTCTTAGCCTGTGAGTCTGTGGTAATTGGGAGAGAAGCCCTTTCTTAGTGTACTAGCAGTGAGACCTGAGAGAAGGCTATACCGAGTGACTGGAGTCATTGTGCCTCGGCTTCTTGAGCCTAAATGAGTGCCAGAAACCTACAGCGAAACAAGGATTGCAGGGCTTCCTTCAGATATAGCTGGGTCTGTGTGGATCAGAAAACTGGTGTCTGAACAGTTTTTGGAGGCTGCTCATGCTGCTATCGCCCAAGCCCTGAGAGTCACTAATCCCTGGTCATGAATGTGGGCTGTGGCATCTCTCTCCTAGTATGACAGTGTGGGGTTGCCATGCCATCCAAACAGCCATTTCTCCCCAAGCCACCAGCTGGACTAGCTGTCTGCTCACCACGTGCTGGGTGCCCACCCTGAGCATATGTTTCTCATCCTCGCCAGGTGCGTTCTTGCCTTGGGGGCGTTCTGAGTACGGGTCCCCAAGCACAGCTTTCACTGGGGAGCAGCAGGCTCTCGAGGCCGAGACTCCTTTCTTGAAGGATTTGACTGGAGGAGTTTCATCTGTGGATTCTTCTGAGAAAGGACATGTCCAAGTCCCTCTGGGAGCTCATTAGAGGTGCTGGGAATCCTGGGAGTATGAGCTGTGAAGTCTTCTTGATGATAAGAAATGTCTGTACACAGCAACCTAGTTTTCTCAGTGGTGCAGCAATGGAAAGAGACCAAGGTAGATGTTTGTTTCCAAGAAGGTTGTATTGTACACTGTAACCCAGAACTGAGAGCAAACCCGATTTTAAATGGATAATTTGGGTGATTACCACCAAACGCCTACATTTTCCTGAATACAACCCAAGGGTATCCTTAATGAATTGGGGTGAAGAATTTGCTTGGCCTTGAGCAGAGCAGCCAATGGCATCTTCCAGCAGTAACAGCTATAGGTGTGTTTTTCTCTCTTACTCCTAAACATAAATAAAAAAAAAAGTACATTTACAATGTTGTCTCTAAGACTCACATTCCTTTTTGGAGCCGCTGGGGCTTTATTTTATTTTTTGATTCCATCAATGTGTCAACCAGCAGTACCAGCAGTACTGACCCCGATCTGAGGCTTTTGCTTAACAAGTGAGATGCTGAGTCCGTCATCTTTGGGGATCTAGAAATTAAGATGGGGCTCATGTATCAAGCATAAACAAAACTGAACATAAAGTAGTATTTAAAAATTAATGTGTTAATGCACTTTCAATGCTATTAGAGTGAGGATTATGCTCAAAACATACATCCCAGAATGGGAAGGCTATGGAGACATTGTACTTCTGAAACGATCAGACCATGTTGCCAGTCATGGTTTCTTAGGAGCAGCAGAAGGGGCTGCATATCCTTGGCCAGAAGTGTGGCCTCACAGAGGGGCCAATGGCGAATATGCAGGTGGGCTATTGCAAATGAAATTTATACCCTTACAAGCCTCTTTAGTGAGATTTGAACCCCAATATATTTCCTGTCTCAGGAACAAATCAAGACAGAGGATGGCTGCCAGCCCACCTTCAGGCATCCAGGGCTTTGCCTTCATCCTGCTGTATTCATTTTCCATAGCTCTTAAGAAATAACTTAAATATCTTAAGCCGGGGACCGTATATAAAACAAGGTCTGTTCAGATCACAGTTTGGAAGTCTGAAAGCCCACACAGTACATTGCCACCTCTCCTGAGGTAAGGCCCCCTCTGCTCTCATCATACACAGAGGAAGGTTGAACAATAGATACCAATCGAGTTTAGTCAAGAAGCTGAAAGGGCAGGGTGGACCTTTTTTCCTCTTTCACCACACATTTCTCTCACATGAACTAACTCATTTTGCAAAGTCAGCCTTAACTCCTTCCACGGGCAGCAACCCAATGACCTAGCCACCACCCACTAGGCTCTATCTCTTAAACATTCCACACAAACTTTCAACACTACCACACTGGCTCTGTTCTAATATATGAACTCTGAGGAGAATATTCTTTATCTTGCATGTCAACTATTTTAATTTGTGGCACAAGCTTTCACATTATGAACTAACAGTTTGATACAGTGTATTTGAGGAGCTGGGGTTATACAAGCCAGAAACGTCTGGTTGCCACACTGCAGGTGAATACAGGGAAAGAAGGACAAGGCTTATGGGGACCCAAGTATTATTTATGATGTTGCTTCTGAGGGAGATGAGCTTTACATTGCCAACCAGGGAGTTAAATGGGGAATGGGGAAATTCAGCCAGAGAGCTGTGGTGTCGTCATTGGAGATGAAGCTGAAGAGCCAAGCTTCATTGGCCTGCTCAGGGGAAGCATGTTGCTGAGAGTGTAGCCCAGCACAGGTAGGTAGTGACTGTCAGCTCCCTCTGTCTGCTCGTCATCATTTACTCAGTGCCTGGTCCAGCTGGCACTCAATAAATATTAATTGAACAAATAATTAGAGAGAATTGTCAACTTCATCCAATGTAACTTGTTAATTGGTAAGAACTTAAATATCTGGACCATAACTCACAGGTGAATGGCTAAAGAGAGACTCTGGGTTTCTTCCTAGTTTCTGAAAGGGACAAACCCCACTGTTTCTAATTTTCTCTGACTTTAGAAAATTGAAATTCATTGGCAAGAAGTTGTCTGGACAGGTCCTGTCTCGGGGCACTTGGCTTTTCCAATACTCTGTTTTGAACATTGCTTCTAAGTATGGAAGGTGTACTTTGGTCTTTGTGTAGGAACATCTTCAGGTGCTGCCTTGGAACACCTGGCTTTGGGGTTTGTGTCTTCATTCAGATCTGAAGTTCAAATAGTGTCAGCTGGTGGCTCATATTTTGCCATTAACCTAGAATTTATTTTTCACTCTTGCTTGTTTACTATAATTTAAGCATCTTGTTGCTAATGTCCAATAGGTTATTGGACTAACAGTAACAATGTCAAGTGGTAGACTTTTCTCCTTTCCATTTTCTCTTGCTTATTTCTGTCCAGTTACTTATTTTGTTGGACATCTAGCTATTATTAGCGTAGAGGAGTTCCAAAAAGAGTTGCTCTATTAGTGTTTGGCCATGTGTACTGGTTTATTCCTATGCATATTTAATATGAATATGTGAAATACGTAGTGAGTACCTACATCTGTGACCAAATTGGTATTCTTGTAAGTAGAGTTTGATTCTTCTTCTGAGGCAGTCTCCAGTTTTCTTGAATTATTTTTCAATGGTATAGCTCTCAAAGAATTTCCAGAGCATCTTGTTGCTAAGAGCAACTACGGGAGCATGAATGTGCAGTGAATGCATGCACTCCTGTTCTGACCAAGTCTCACTTGGCTCTCTCATGGCTTCTTGGCCTCTTTGCTCCAGGAGGTACAAGTGCACACGAAGGGGATGGAAGAACCCATGGCATATGGGCTGCCAGTTCTTCAGAGGATGCTCCACAGAGGGTGCTCCACACTGGGAGTCCCGCCGCAGGCAGGGCTGGAAATATTACAAGGAGCCA